TTATATTATTATTACACGGTAAAGTCCCATACTTTAGTAAAATTCTGCAATAATCTTAGTATATCAGTGTGGCGCAACGTCAAAATGCCTGCCTTGTAAGCAGAGGACTCAGCTTCAAACCCCCGACAGGTTAGTTTTTAATTTTTTTTTTTTTTTTTAATAATCATTAAGTAATCGATAAAATATTCGTTATGAAATAATACTGAATGTTTCTTTTCACATAATTATTGTGTACATTTCTAAGTTTTAGTCCCTGCGGTACACAAAATAGCGTATGTACCACGGGACTAAAGTGCCACATTTAATCCCGAGAGCAAAGATTGTTGCCCGAGCGGAGTGAGGGCATCAATGGTACATAATACACTATTAAAATACCTGATGTTGGATCAGTAAACACTTCAATTAAGTTCTATTAATAAGTCTGTTTTTATTATCTTGACAAAAAAAAATTATAAAAAAAGTTTATAGGTTAAAAACATAATGGGTAAATATGCACTTCATGCAAATATATTCATTGCTACTAGTGCTAATAAATCAATGATACACTGACAGTCAAAATCTATCAAAATTTCATTTTAAGGTTAAGTAATGGTTTAAGCTAAAAAATGTCTGGGTTTAGTAAAGTGATTCTTAACGTCTTGATAAGTAGAACTTTAATAACGGTATTCACAGTTGTCGTTTTAAGTGTCCCTTAGATGCCAAGAAAAGCAGTGTGAATATCCCTAAGTGCTTAAATTTAATATTTTGTTAATTTCTATATTTTGAAAGCAAACAAAACATTTTTGGGAATGGCCTCCCAAAAAACAAACTCATCTCCAGCTATTAGCAACTGAATGTGGAGCTGGTGCATTATTTGGAACAAAATCGCATAATTATGTTCATAAGAATGCATAATTTCATTCTTAACCATTGGAAACACTTATGCTCATTACAAGGAACCATCAACACAAGGCAGCCGCGAGAGGAAATGATCCTACTGCCGCGCCCGTACCGATTAGAATTGTCAAACTCATCTGTCAACTCAATACTGTCAACCACTGTCATTTGTAGTTTTTATACAGTTATTCAGTTAACGCGTGGTGAAATATATTGTAGTAAAATTATAGTTTTTTATATAAAAAATGGAAAAAAAGTAAATAATAGAAAATCCTGTAATATTTGTGATAAAACATTTAGTAGACCATCTAATTTAAACATATTAGACTTATTCATGGAGAGGAACCCAAAAGTTTCAAGAAATGTGTGTCCTTCTTGTTTTCGACTTTATGATAGTTATTCCAAATTTCGTGACCATTTAATTATGGATCACGAGTTTGAAGTATTTAAAGAAGAAAAACAATTTGTGGATTATTCAGGTTGGTATTACAGGTAAATTTTATAAACGAATGAGTAATGAAAATATGTTTGTAGAATTTCAAACACGGAAAGATTTAAAAGAGAAGGAAATGAAATGTTCTTATGTGAAGACTAGTGGAACAAAAAGTAGTGGCAAGTCAGAAAAAATCTACTTTGTTTGCCATAGATCAGCAAAGCAAAGCAGACATGTATCTATTTCACATAGTGAGCATCAGAGTTTTAAAATCTCAGGGTCCTTCAAAACTTACAGTCACTTGTCCATCAACATTAGAATTAATTTGCCAAGAAAACGAATTGAAAGCAACTTTATACACTCCTCATGTAGGCCATAAGTGCAATTTGACGCACATAAACCTTACTAAAACTGAAAGGAAACAAATCGCAGGTAATTTTATATAATAATTGTTAAGAGATTTTTGTAACATTTTTTTTTTACTTTAAGGAAGAATTGCTGAAGGGGTATCATTTCAAAAAATTCTGGATGATATCCGAGATGGAACTGATTCAAAAGAATCATTGGGGAGACTTAGTCTTCTAGATCGCCAGAACTTAAGAAATGTAACAAGGGATTTTTTGCGGCAGGGGCATGTTCAGTTACACAAGACTGATGTTATAAGCGTTCATCTTTGGATTGAACGTTTCAGGCAACAAATTGATCAGTTTCCTGTCTTATTTTACAAAGCCCAAGATTCAAATCAATTTGCAGATATCTATAGGAGAATGATTTTGTTTTGATATTTATGACCGTTCAGATAAAATATGTGTTGATTCAACACATGGAACAACAAATTATAATTTTTTATTGACAACACTCATGGTTGTTGAGTTTGTTGAATGTGTGCCGACTGCATTTATGATTTCCAATAAAGCAGACACATCTGTGCTAACACATTTTTTTTTAGATTATTAAAATGCAGACTGGTGACATAAAATGTAAAGTATTTATGTCAGATGATGCTTTAGAATTCTACAATTCATGGACTAGTACTATGAGTGAGCCTGATAATCGCCTTTTGTGTGCATGGCATTTATAAGAGTTTACGCATGTTATTGCAAACTAAAGATACTTCCGAATTCGAAGAATTGCAAGAATTTATAGTAAATGAGCTCGTTGGCTGTGAAGATACTGTTGCATTTGGGGAATACTTCAAAACCTATTATGTTGATCGTTGTCACCTATGGGCATATTGTTATAGACAAGGACTTGGTATTAATACTAATATGTTTCTGGAATCCATGCACAGGACACTTAAACACATATATTTCCAAGGAAAGAAAAACAAGAGAGTTGACATGTGTCTACATTCTTTGTTAAAATTAGTCCGTGATATTACAATAAAAAAGCTGAAGAGAAATATTAAAGGTAATAGTTCATATCGAATGGACTAAATCAGAAAAAGTCACTTCGTATGTCTAAAGCACACTTATTGTATATCCAAAAACGCATTTTTGGACAATTGCAAATTTAAACTTCTAGAAAATGTAATTAAATGCCTTAATTCTCAGTTTTAATTTGAATTTATTGTAGTGTGGTGGGTGTTAGAGCCATGTTGGAGCTGCAATGTTTGTGCCCAATAAAGAAGACTAAAATGCGATTTAATTGGTACCAAGATCGTTATAACATTAAATTTGGAGTTACAATATGTGTGCTTTAGATCGACGTTACTAAGTACATTTATATAAATTGATGATATTGTTAATATTGATGATGTTACTTGGAATATAAAAACAGCAGGCAAAAATGATGAGCATTATATTGTTCAAAAACAGTCTGATGAATGTTTTAGAAGAAGCAAAAACTGTCACTTATTTTGCAAGCAATGTCAAATTTATGTGCACGAATATACATGCACATGTCTTGATTTTTTTATAAAGAGTAATTTATGTAAACATATACATGCAGTTATTCAAAATTGTTCAAAATCAGTGATTCCTATTCAGACAGCTGAGACAGATGAGGTAACTGAAGAAATAATTAACAATGTAATAAGCCATAATGTCAAAGGGGAAGAAAGTAACAAAAAGCCATAATGTCAAAGGGGAAGAAAGTAACAACCAAGATCTAAAAAGCAAATTAGATGTTTTGTATGAATTACTTTCATCCAAAAGTTTGATATCAGAAATAAAAGTGCGGGTTAGAAAAATTACAGATAGTGCTATAGATGTGGTTGCAAAAGAAAATCATACAGGATTGAAGGATGTTTCTAGGGCTCCTGCAAACAAAAAAGCTGAAAAACAACTCCTCTTTACTAGCACTAAGAAGAAACGTGTTACAAATTCTTTGGATTTACTTAAAAAGCCAACTACCTCTGACATTAAACAGCTTATGGATGAATGTGACAATAAAGTGATCATTTGTATTTAAATTATATTGGATTTTTTAAAGACTAAAATATTCATGTTATCTACTAGTTTTAAATTAGAAACTATTAATTACAAAACAATTTAAATATTTATTTTATAGGGTATTTTTTTATGTACATATCTAGTTAAGTTTTTTCTATTGGTATAAATTGTATTTTTTTTAAGGAATATTAAAATATTCAAAATGTATGTATTTATTTAAATTATAAACTATTTGAAATAAGAATATTTTAGATATTTATTTCATTGGGTATTTTTATATATTATGTATATAGTTAATATTTTTTGTCTATTTATTAGTTTACATGGATTGTATCCGTTAATTAAAAATATTAAAATGATCAAAATGTATATGCACCAGTAGTTTTAAATTAGAAACTTCAGTTATAAGGATTTTTAGATTATTTTAAAAGGTATCTGTTTAGTTTAACTAAATAAATGTTTATATGTATAGATAAATCTTATTTTTATTAGTGTATATTATATTAAATAATAATCTCGCTTGTTTGGGGATGAGACGGATATTATTTGCCCTGACGTGAAAAAATTTAATATTTAAAAGAATTTGTTAGCCTCTTTGGGATTGATTTAATAAATAAGTCTAATATAAAACATAATTTTTATTTATCAAACATTTGAAGCTTTATGTTTACTTTATAGATAATAAAAATTATATTAATAAGGTATGCTGGGGGGTGGGTGGCTCAGTGGTAGAGCCTCTGTCTGTGGATCCAAGGGTCCCAGGTTCGAATCCCACCGTTGGCCGAAATTTTTTCATTTTATTTAATTATTTAAAATTAATTCTGATGCCTTTTTTTTAGTAAAGTAATTGTTGACTTACATTTTTATTTGTAAATATAATGGATCATCCAGATTAACTGCAGTAAACACAATAAGAAGGAATTTTTTGTATTATAATAACACAATTATTAAAAACAAGGTATAATAGACTAATTCCATTTCTAAGCAATTAATCACAAACAGTATTATCAATTTACACCCTTGTTATGAAACTAATTTTCACATTTAAACGTTCTGCAGAATTTTAGTTGATTTAGAGTTCGCTAGGAGCGCGGCAGTAGGATCCTTTCCTCTCGCGACTGCCTTGTCCATCACAAAGGTACAACTTTACCATAAACTGAATTATTTTGTAGTAATATCTAAAAATCCTAAATTTACCAGGGTCACATTAAAATGACAATGATATACTAAGGAAAACAACAAGGTAAGCCATAGATATCAGAAATTTTGATTGAAAATACTTAAGTATATTTACTTACCCAAAACTGTAACTGATGTGGTGCCATCTCCAACTTCATCATCCTGTACTTTTGACATGTCAACAAGAATTTTCGCTGCTGGATTATCTACACCAACAGATTTTAATATAGTAGCTCCATCATTAGTTACTTCTACGTGTCCTGCACTTCGTCCGCTGGATACTAAAATTTTATCCATTCCCTTCGGCCCCAAGGTACTTCTAACCAAATCTCCTATAGCAATGGCACCAACAAAACTGCTCAAGCGAGCAATTTCAGCTCTTTCTTCTTCTGCTTCTTGTTTAAGAATTCTTACTGGGTTTAGGGACACCTAAAAATGGAGAAATTTAACATTTTTCTGTTTATTTTCGACATAGCACGTGCATAACCGGCGCTTAATCATTGAGCACCTGATCCTTTATATTCATTATTTCAATCAAAATAATATTTTTAGGGATAAACCATAACGAATTATAATTATATAAAGTATAAATGTTCACGTCTTACCATTTTTAATTATATTTATCTTTTTTTCAATCTTCAAATTAATTAAATAAATAATTGTAGTCTTGGATATGACAAACCCAGTGCAAAAACTTGTAAAAAGAGAAGATAGCCATTGAACATCGAATATAAGTCAAATGTCAAATTTTCTTCTTTTTAATTTTTAATAAATTCTAAAAAATATTTCATTTCAGGTATTAATCTGAGCTGCTCCCACATACTTTGATAATCAAAGTATGTGATAAGGACCACATACTTTAGGTCTTTTTTTTGCATCGAAAGTGTAGAACCGAGCTACACTACTTCTGAAAATATCGTTGGATTTATACAAATTGTATGGATGGAACAATATTATCAGAAGTAACGTAGCTCAGTGCTACACTTTCGATGCAAAGGAAAAGACCTTTTGATTTTCTTTTACTATACGGAGAATGGTCGCACTGCGCAGCTTTCTGAGTGCCTTTTAAATGGAGATAGAAAACACCGCCATTTTGATCCTTTATTACGTGTTGCCTACATCTTGGCGCAATATTTTTTATAGGTGCGTTTTAATCATCCGCTTCTGCTTCGGAATTATCGGTTTTCTTGTTTTAATCTGACAGGTTAAAACGACTAAACCGACAATTCCGGAAGCAGAAGCGGATGATTAAAACGCACCTGATATTTTGCTTGCTGCTGTCAGTGTCAGTGAATATTATTTTTGGAGTCACAGTTTATTGCTAAAGAATCTGTTAGCTCACTCGGACCAGTTGAAAGTTCCAAAATAACATCCACTCCAGGGATACAAATTCAGGATGCGCAGAAGACTGCTGTTTTATTATAGGCGATTGTCATATATTGTATTATCCGAGTTGCGCAGTGTATAAACTGGAACATTGAGATCAAAAGTGCCGACGCAGAGTGAGCGAATTGATTCTTTAGCTATAAACTGTGGCATAGGAATCAAATTGGCCGCGCCCTATGTTCGGCGTGTCGGACCTCTCTCTTGCACCGTATAGTAATCAAAGTATGTGATAAAGCTTGGGCTATAGTGTTATATCCCCCTCTCTGAAACCGTATTGTTCCCGTGGGATAATTTGTAGTCGTTGTTCTGTTTTCTTGAGTCTAATCAAAATTAAAGTGTCTGTTATTTTCGCCATTGTGTTCAGTAAGGAAATGGTAACTATCGATCTTAGGACCGATTCCACCGTTGTGTTAAACGGAGTTTAAAATGACATTTTTACATTAACAATGTCATTTTAATCTCTGTTTAACACAACGGTGGAATCGGTCCTTAGTGGCCGGTTTCCCCGATTTTAAAATTGGAATGATATTTGCCATTTTCAAGCCACTGGGATAGTGTTGTTGCTTGAAAATAGCATTTATAATATGGTGGAGCTGCACGACAGCCTTTTTACTGAGGTTTTTTGAGTAAAATGTTATTGATATCGTCCGGTCCCAGAGCTTTTCTATTTTTGAGACCTTTAATTACTTCACACACCTCTTTGGGGGAGGTAAAAAAGGAATGTGGCACTACTTGCGGTTCCGAATGCTCCAGCGCATTTACTAAAAGTTCAAAGCGCTGTTGTTCAGGGGTGTTTTCCTGATCGTTAGTGAAATTTGTCTGAAAGAATTCGCCGAAGGCTTGGCCTTTGTCTTTGTCCGTGTTAAGTAAGTCAGATCCTTTTTTCATTGTGGGAAAAAGCGAGTTCGGTCTTTTAAACCTTTTCATTACTTTCCACAATGTATTGTCGTGTGGTTTTAGCTCCGATAGGGTAGTTTGCCATTTTTTGTTGCGGTATTCCTTTATCATTGAGTTGATGGTCTTAGCGATGTTATAGAGTCTTACCTTATAGAGTCTTACCCTATCTTCGCCTTGTCTGTGAAGTTGCCATCTCTTTCTAATGGAATTTAATCATGTCCGTAATTTCTATAGGCAATATGTCATTGTGTTGTTTTTGTGTTTTAAGTGTAGTTGTAGCGTCTCTAGCTTTTTGTATTGCGTTACTTAAGTTTCAGTTTCATTTTCTATTAATTCAATTGAGTGAATGTTACTATTTATTTTAATTAATTTATTAAGTTCTGATATGTAGGATGCCCAATTAGTCGATGTATAGTCGTAATATTGCCTATATTGTCGGGGTATTTTTTGTGTTGTCAAGATCTCTAAGTACACTGGATCGTGATCTGAGCTTAGGGTTTTAATGGTTCGCATGTTGGGTATGTCTGAGATGTTTTTGGCTAGTGCTATATCCAGTGTACTAGGGGTGTGAGTCGCGTAGGTCGGAAAAAATGTCGGTTCTTCAGTGTAATGTATGATGTAACCGTTAACTTCAGCAAAGTCTCTTAGTAGCAGTCCTCTGGGGGTTACCATATGCGAGACGATGACGAACGTCGTCAGGCCCCTGCATACTGCATCATTCTCACTTTGCAGAAATTCGTGCATCATTGTATCACATGGATGCATCAACGAATACCCAGACAGCACACCAAATTCTTTGGATATCTACTGGACATCCCAATATTCACTGAATGTCCAATGAGATGTAATTTATGGACATGCAAATGTCCATAAATAATAGTAATTATATAGCAAATTATTAAAAAATTACGCCATTGTGCTCGCCATTGTGGCTAATAGTACCGTTCAGATATTTAAAATTATATTTTTTAAGGTGTATTCAATATCCCATGGATATCCACTAAATATATCAAAGTCTAGGCGCGAACGCAAACCATGGTGGATATCCACTAGATGTAATTTTTGATTTTGCTTACTAAGTATAGATGGCGATACCACTTTCGCTCGTTGAATATCTACTCATGCTCAACCCGCCGTAATTAAGTTCGATCGAAATTGGTTTCGCAATCAGATTTCATTAGAGACTGGAGCATAGATAAATTAATATAAAACAAGATGAATTTATTAAATGCCCGCCACTGTCAACACGGCGTAGTTCCCAGCATACTATTAGTTAGCGCCACCATCGCAATAGTATGAAAGCGATGTTGCCGGTTTCCGTAAACTTTCATGAGATGATAGTTATTTCAAATTCATTTTATTTTAATTTTTTATCAATCTACATGCGCACCATACCGTCCATACAATGTCCATACTATTGCTGAGATTTTTAAAAGACGGGATTGACAACCTTGTAAAAAATGAAAAACGTGATGGCGGAAGGCGGGATATGATGATAAAATAAAACTTATTTTTATTTTATGATGTAAGTTACATAGGTAGGTAAGTTATTTTTAGGTTAAGAAACAAACGGTGCTGATTTGATGTAATTAGTAAGTATTAACTTTAATTTAATATTAAGTATTTAAGGACTTTGTTTATCATTGTTTTCTTAGCCTTAACGATATATAGGTATCTAATTTCATATTTCAACAATTCCTTTTCTAATATTTGAAACAAAAATGTCTGGCCCGGGTTGTCTGGTTAAGTATTCTTGTTCAGCTCCTAATTGTTTAAATAAGTATTATTCTAATATTCAGCAAGTTGGTTATTCAAATAAAGCATTTTTTTCATTTTCCTTCTGATGTTAAAGTTCGCCAGAACTGGTTTAAGAATTTAAATTTAACTTTAGATAATAATACTCGCTATCTTTGTGAAGATCATTTTTTGCCAGTCTTTTAGTAAGGTTTCCTCAAAACGTAAACGACTAGTTGTACATTCTGTACCAATTTCTTTAGATAATTATGCATCCAGTTCAAATATACAACCCGAGAGTCAGATTTCAGAATATATTGAGGCTGAAGCACAAACACAGCAGCATAAGATAGATTTGCTAATCAGCAACGAAAATCAAGAAATTAGTTGCAAACGTAAACTAAATATTAGTGATGTACAATTTGAACAACCCTCCAAACGGAGAAAAACTGTTTTGCAACAAATAAATGAAAGTAAAGTCAAAAATTTAAGTCCCAAAGAGAAAAAGCTGTATTTTATTAATAGAGAACAAAACGTTAGAATTTGTAAGCTAAAGAAAGCTCTACGTGTTTCCAAATATAAAATCAAGAAAGCCTTTGAATTATCCAAAACTCAGTTATTTTCAGATTTTAATAATAAATTAGATCCGATTGGAATTAAATTCTTTAAAAGTAGTTTAGAAAATTGTAAGAGAAAGAAACCCTCTTGGACCACTCAGAATAAAATTTTTTCTTTAGCATTATATTAAAATGGTCCAAGAGCATATAATTTTTTAAGAAAATGCATTTCGTTGCCTAGTAAATCTACTATCCAACAAATTTTAAGTGATTTACCTTTTGAAACGGGGATAAATGATTCAGTGTTTTCCAGATTTAAAGAAATTGTTAGAAAAATGCCAGAAATTGATAGGAATTGTATTTTAATGTTCGACGAAATAGCTCTAACCGAAAAACTCACTTTTGATACAGTTAATGACAAAATTGTTGGATATGTTGACTTGGGAAAAAAATTAGGTAGACGCCCAGAAGTAGCCGATCATGCTTTAGTTTTTATGATTCACGGTTTAAGAAGAGTTTGGAAACAGCCTATAGCATATTATTTTACACGTCATGCTATAAATAGTAAAGATCTTATTGAGTTAATTAAAAGAGGTTATTACGGCTCTTCAAAATATAGGTTTAAAGGTTTTAGCAACTGTTTGTGATTTGATGTTTTTTTCCACACCCACATGGATATAGCTATTCTACTCACAGACTACAAAATGAAAAAGTAAGCCATTGGGTTCAAGTCATATATCCATTCTACCTAGTAAGAACACTGCATGGATATGAAATCCACCAGTCACAGTTCATTATTTGTTCACTGGGCTATTATTAATTTTTTAAATTTTAAATGTCACAATTTTGTCAAACTAATTGTCAGTATATTTTTTAGTTATTGAAATTAATTATGAAAATAAATTAGTAAGTCATAAATTATTTTTAAATTGGAAATTTTATCTTAGTTACCCAAAATAATTTTAAATAATTGTAAATTTTCGTTAGAGGGTCGTAGAAAAAATATTCTGTACAACTAGAGTGGATTGTCCTTATCGCACTCAGATGATTGAACACTCCACGTACTGCGTCGTGCTCAATCTTCGTCAAATAATTAAAAATAACTTAGTTTTATAAAAATGGTCAACATTTTGATAAGAGAAATTGTTCAATAACTAATATGTACACTTTTTGTTTTGTTTTTATAGGAAACACCTGACGCCCATCAAAGTATGGTCCATTTTTACAAGAATGTGGGGAAACTAGTATTCATTTCACTTACAATTGTTCTTTATTAACACATTATGTATGTATTACTGTATAATAAATAATTTAAATATATTTGTCTTATATTTTATTTCAGTGTAAATATTTTTTGTCTACATTTTTGTATACATTTTTTGGGGTTTTATAACTAAAAAAAACTAATATATATGTTAAATACAATATTTTAATATAAATATTAGTTTTTCTTTTTAATGAACCCCAAAAAATATAAATAAATAAATAAAGATATTTAAATGAACCGCGGTTACGTTAACACTCTTCTTTTTTTATGCCTCTTACTGACAAATCAATCAGCCAGTGTAGTTCAAAAAAGATCCGTTTCATACTAATTCGCAGCACTACGTTTCCAAAGATTAACACAGAATCCGACCATCTTCTTTATTAGTTTATCTATGGACTGGAGTCGAGAATTTCCATTTATTGCTGAAGAGTCATAATAAGGATGACTTTTTCCTTAGTGGGCAAAATCAAAGGCAGAGTGTTGAAAATATTTTTTATCTCTGATATTTTCTTTCGACGTTATTCAATAATCATTGGTTACTTATGAACCTCTACTAAAGATGCATATAAAATATTATGCTAAATATCCGAATATCTTCTATATCCTGGGATTATAGACGGAAATTTGGATATCCATATTAGATCCACTGGATATATTGGATATCCACAAAATATATTCTGTGGATATCTCTGGGATTTCTTGTATTGTCTGGAAGATACCCATTAGATATTCTGTTGGATATAGTGGATATCTATAGGATATCTTCTATATTCTGGATATAGACGGACATTTGGATATCCATATTAGATCCACGGGATATTTCTAAAATCCTGTGGATATATTGGATATCCACAAAAGATATTCTGTGGATATCTCTGGGATTTGGTGTGTTGTCTGGGTAGTGAGTAGCGGGCTTACCAATTGCCTAACAGCAATGATCTATCTGTTCAATTTTCATCATTGATGACGTGCAACGGAAATTTCATTACAATGAGTATAAGTGGGTAGTTAGTAGGGGGGAGGGTGGATGATTAGACCAATTTATAGAAATGAACTCATAAAACCCATATTTTTTTTGGTAAATATTGAGAGTTTGTATTGCTACATAATCTTTAGACACTTTTAAGAATATTAAAAACCAAAATAGTGACATGATTTTGCGCAATACATAAAAAATGTAAAAAATTTGGTCGATTCCTCCACCACCGGAGGCAGATTCGGCCAGCACTAAGGGAGGATTCGGCCAGCACTAAGGGAGGATTCGGCCTAACTAGTATGAAAGCTATGTTTATTAGCATATTATTTAGTAAACATGTTGTATAATCTCAATTTAGCAAAAAAAAGTTTTTCTCGATAAGTATACATTGAAACAATAGTATTATGAAGAAAAATATACGCTTTAATGAACATCCATTTCGTGGAAATTATAATTGAATCGAAACAGTGATTGAATACGTGTAGTTCCAGCTTTTTGTGGGTGTGGCAAGCCTAGCCGCAATATCATTAACTTGCACCATTGCTATATCATTAATAATGGAAGATAGAAGGTGGTTGAATTTCTCTGTCGCCTTTAAAACTTTTCCTCCTTTTCCTCCTAAATTCATGTTCACTCATCAGAACCTACCTCTGAAACCAAGACACTTTGTGATTTTTTTATTCCTAACTTGTGTCTCTCTATAACACAATGAGTACGCTTGTTAAGCGACTTTGAACCTTTAGGACTGAACATCAGGACAGGGATTCTTATGTGCGAACTCAACACGTTACGTGTTGATTAGAGAGAGACATTACATAGAAAATCGCAATATGTCGAACGAAGATAGATGCTTCTCAACACGTGCCGTATTGAAAGATGAGAATCCCACTGCAGATTCATCTAGAGTCAGGGATACACAGACTTATAGGAAACGGGGGTCACTCGGGAAAATTATAAACCAAGGACAGGCCAGTACAAACAATACTTATTAACACATTTTTTTTAATTTTTAAATAGTATAAATAAAAGAACATAATAACATAAATATCGGCAGTGCATCGCTGAGTACTATAGGGACGCGGGCGTTCTGTTGTGCCATTTTTGGCTCTCTGAAAAATGGACCCCGGGTTGACACAACAAAATCACGTGAGCGATATTGTTGTTTGGTCTTGATATTGAATTAAACTTTTTGAATTTCTCAAAAAAAAATAAATAAAAAAATTTAAAATAAAAGTAAAACATAATTAAATTTCAAATTTGATCTTTCTTTAAATATAACTTCTTTCTCCAATCGCAACTAGGCCTGAGCAACTACACCTCGAGCGAGGCTTCCGCAGTACCGTTTTTGGTTGTTCCCTAGAACCACCGATGGTACAACGGGATCTCTTCGCCGATGGAGCTAAATAATTTCGGCATAAAAAAATATTATCTTATAAAAAAGGCATCAGTTCATCAACCTCTTTGTCAGTTCTGCGTTGATACTTTCGACGCATCTTCAAATCAAACAAGCAATTATTTAAATAATACCCCTACTAGATATGGGGACAACATCGGCCGTGGCCGAAACCTCCACCAGTCTAGGGGCCAAAGCATTACCATTAGTCAAAATTCACAAACAAACATGGCACGTGGGCCAGTTACTATTTATATTTAAGGTTAGGTTATTTATGAAACGTAGCTTTAAATATGCCACTAAATACGAGCACTAAGTGAAATAGTTTAACAAATTGACTAGGCACAAGAGTTTCTTAAATTTGTAAATTGCAAAATTCACCTTATTTTCTCTAAAAACAGTCAAAAATGTATCAGCACAAATAAACACTTGTGAGACGCTGTTCATGCGGCTCAATACTAGAAACACACTTACTTGTGTGCGTTACAAATCATTGACTTTTCGTAGGAAATAGTAAAATTAAATCGCTGATAATCGAATCCTCGTAGGTACCGAACCATCCACCCTCTCCCCTAATTATTTTTGAGAGGGCGCTGCTCAATTTTCCACCTCTGAGGAGCCGCCACTGGCCCGTTATATACATATTTGGTATTAATCAGTACTAGGTAATACATATTAAAACAAGGTAAGATACAAAAATGTTTATTAATTAAATAGACACATTTTAAATATTTAAACTTTAGTATTTATTGTACAGACTTATAAACAAAATATATAAAGTTTTTAAATTGTATAAAACGAGTCTTTTAACAATACCCGTTTCCCACGTGATCTGGCAAAAAAGGCATTTAATTAAAATAGGCGTTCTTGGTATTTTTTTTTTAATTATTTTCTTTCATCAGTTACTACTGAAGTTATTAATCTTACTTTTAGCCAGTTGATGACATCAATTTAGTCAAGTGGAATACATATATTGTTGAAGACTATAGTTAAAAGGTATTGCCCCTCTTAGTACTGAAAGTTACAATTTTAATATTTTTTGTTCTAAATTGACTACCATTCAAATACAGATAAAACCTCGATACCCCAAAGGGTATTAAAGAGGAACTGATTATGTATGTTTTTATATATAAAGCTATGCAGGTAGAGTCTACAATAAGTTTATCAGTCGTACATTAAGAGCAACATCTCTTAATTTTTTGGAGGGCTAATTAATGATTTTTTGTACTCTTTCAAATTTACATAATTTTAAATTTCTTTTATTAATAAATATTTTACATCAATGTTAACCCTCGATTAAATTTTCCACATATTTAAATTAACCGTTACAATTTTATTTTAGTTGTACTTCATAAATTTATTTAGATTATTCCAACTGCAGGAGTAATCAATTTTTAAGTGCCCGTATTTGCTAAAACTGAAATTTTGCGGTTTGGTTCTTGACTGTCTCATATCATCATATATGGGCATTGTTGTATCCTGTCTGTCAATTCTTTCTCTCAATTCTTCCAACGTGCCTCGCGAATCTGGCCCCCTTGGATTGAAGTGTTGATAGTGACTGAAAAAAAAGAGATAGTTTTAAAGAATAGTAGACACGAAGTTCGGTCAGAATTATTGGCAGACAAATGAATTTTACCGATTTTTTATTCAACTAAACCAAATCAAACTCTGACTTAATAGCCTCTGATTTTAACACACAAAGCAGATAATACCTAGCGAATGGCGGTGCTCAGCTGCTCCATTAGCTGTGGAAGCGGTTGTGAAATGCTGCGAAACATGTAAGCAAACATTTATTACAAAAATAAGGTTCTTTCGTTCGTCCCACTGGTGCAGAAATGAATTACACCAATGTATATACTACCTTTCGTTTGGGCTGGTGTAAAATCCACTACACCTTCCTGTCGGCGATGTGGTGTACATTGGTGAATATTTTCTCCAACAGCTATTTAGCAGTAGTAAATTATACTCGACATGTGTATAATAAGGAGGAAGTTAACTAGGCAAATAAGGTGGTGTAATTGACATTGGTGCACCAACAGCGAACGAGAATACCTTTACGGAAAATTGTAAAATTCTGGTTAAATAAATCTTGAGCTTAATCAATATAAATTTATCTTGCCAAATCAGAAAATTACAAATAATCTTTATTTTTATTGTCACTCAATGAAAGTGCTGCATAATCTAATTAAATTTTAAAACAACTAAATTACCTAACCTGGGTAACCTGAAGCTATCACAGGTTGCTTTCAAAGAGAAATTACCATAAAATTAGAAGAAAAAAATGTATTTAATTTACTTAACCTGTGCGGCCTGGAGTCATATACACTAACCCTTCATGGTTCCAGGCCGCACAGGTTAGGTAAATAATTTGACAAATACGTGGATAACACCGTAAATGTTTGCAATTCTATTTTTGTAAAAACAATAGTCTAGTAGTTTTTCGTCATTGTAATACTATTAAAAATACTTAAACGAATTTTGAGTTTAATGTTCGTAATATTTAGATGTTAGTAGTATTATTATTATTATAATTATTATTTATGAATTTTGTTAATACTTACTCGAAATCGCCGTACGAATAGCTGAGACTTCGATCTCTCGTTTTGCAAGTTACAGGAAGTGCTACCCTCCGGAAGATTCCTTTATCGTCGTAGATCCCAAAAACAGAATTTTCTTGAACAGTCCCTTCAGCATAAGGGCTTACCTCTTCTGCTTCTGTGAAAAAAAATATTACATTAATACCATGGATGAGAACATAAGGAGCAGTATTGTTTTTTAGGCTGTTGTCTAATAATAGACTGTATTAGAGCTTTATAGTAAAGAATTTTTCCTTTCGAGTTTAAATTGCGACCATTCATTTTAAGTGCAAGTAAAATTGCTGTCTACATGCAATTCATTGCAAACAGTTTGTCAACTTAATTTACAGGTACATCATTGAGATGGAATAAAGGGGTCTCTTGTCCAAAATAGTTTGGAAATTCCTGATTTAACTTACATAAAAATTTTCATTCCGTCAGTCTTCAAATATAAAAGTAATTAACTTCAAAGAAATCAAAGAATCATTCAAGGTTTTTCCACCTTAAGTTTTGTTATTATTGGTATTTCCTAAAAAAATTCACAAAAGTCGGACTAAAAATAAAGACTTGGAAGGAATTATAAATTTTCAAGTTGTTCGGTTTGCTCTTGATTATTTCTGCCGACGGTCTGCGGCCCGCCCTTAAATTTGGCTGCCTTTGTGTCTACACAACCTGTATACCCCTAAGGACGGCCTTGTACCAGGTGACGGTAAAGATGTGATATTTTAACGTTTTTGCTTCTACAAGCCTAAAACTTTCAGGAGTTATTTTTAAAGTTATTTTATTAAGACTATTTCAAATGCCGGACGCTTCTGGCAGTGAATACGGTCCTGAGTTGTTAATAGCAGCTATGGAACTGTTTTATTGAGGGCGAAATAGGTATCGATCTAAAGCCATTTGACTTGCGAAATACAGAAGATTTAAGTGTACCTAAACAGTTTCACATAACTTATTTTTGATGTTAACGTCCTGTTTTTGGTTGTTTCAGAAATCAAAATAATACTAAAATGCGATTTTTTTCTGTTAAAACTATACTGATATTTTCTTTGAATATAATTTCACGATTATAATTCTTTGGCTCTTTAAAAAATTCTAAGAGACGTTCTCTTTTAGATGAACATATTTTGTTATTATGAATTGTTTAGTGAAAGCAAAAAATAAACTTTATTGAGCAATCATGCAAATAAACCAGGCAGAATGGGATATAAACGAGAGTACTTTTGAAACATAATTTGAATATTTAATTTTTAAAACCACCATGGTTATTACATTATTCGTTTGAATCTGATTATATAAAATTAAGGACAGAGTCGTACCCAGCTAGTTGGTTAAAAGATAATAGATTTTTGGTTGTTAGAAAAATGTTCATCTTAACGTTGCATTAAAATTTGCTATTACTACAGCTTTTAAAACCACTTACCAGACGTTGTAATTATTTTGTATTGATAACTTATACTGAAGTGTAAAATGCTTAACAAAATTTGCCAATAAGGTCTTATAAAAATATTAAAATTGGAATTTATAGAAAATTTCGTATATTTTTTGCTAGAATAATTTCCTTGTATCTTATCATATATTATGTACCTCTGAAAAAGTGGGAACCGTGATTTGAACAAACGCTTTGTAAGTCCAAATTTTCCAAACTTGGTCTTGTTTAAAACAGCTCTCCTCCACCAATGTAATAATTATAAATTTAAACCAATCTAATGAGTAACGGGGGTGTTACAGAAGAATTATGGTGACAGTAGTGTGACAGGTTTTCTCAACTCTCATTTGTGACGTTCGAACTGGGTGTGCTCGGGCGCCAGTTTGCTCCTCTTAACCCATTAGAACAAGTTCCAAAAAGGGCTGCAGGTAGCTGCAGTGAAGGAAGAAAATTCCAGAGGGTCAGTGATATTACGGTAGTTGTGTAGTACCCGAAAAGAGATTTACCACAAGGGAATGAAATGCCAGGTTTCAGTTTGACACATATATTGATCTGTGTTAACTAACAAAGGTTACGGTTGCACAGGGACTCCTAGCTCTCGTAATTCGTATCTGTCGTGGGTTCTAGACAGGATCTTCTTTGAACTGGGCACAACAACAACACCACCAACAATTTTGCAAGAACTTTTTATTACATAAAAAACAATTATCGTAGTTAGCAACTAGTAAACAGAAATATAACTTATAATAGCGTGAATTGTCTGTGATTGATAGCGAGCGCTTCACAGCCACCAGTCATCATCAGTCGGCTGATTCCCGATCGTCTGCTGGTACCTTACTTCCCTCTTGATTTTTTGCACTACGAGCACTTTGGACCAGTCCGATTTAGCTTAAAGCATACCCCGAATCTCACTCACTGAAACGACATGGACTAGTCCACCCCACCATGGTTATTGGCAAGTTATTTAAATGTTCAGGTGTTTGAAACTGGTACACGGTTGATAATCTGTATACTAAATATTTTATTTACAAGCCCTCCCCAAGTTCTGGATCTACCCCTAAACAAAATTAAACAAGAAGCATTTGTAACGGAAATTAACTGGGATGGTAAACTAAAACTCAATCGGACAAGTCTAGGCGGCGTTTAAGAATAAAACGGTGTCGGGAAAACAGCAGTCAAACCAAAAGTACTACGTGTCATTGTAGCAAGTCTTCGATTTTCGGCAGTGTGCATTTTCGGAATCTCATTCATTTCTCCTTCCTTAAAACTTCTGAATATTCGGTTATTCCTAAAACGCGAGACATGGCAGGGAGTGAACAGGAGCGGAAGTAACGTGCAAAAGATAAATTGCAAAACTAGCTACAGTCTAATGGACCACAAGATCAATATCCTGGCGACGTAATCCCTGAGGATGATGTTCCAGGCTATTTAATCTCGTATAAACCAAACTCTGGAAGCGAAGCCGAATCAGCCCATTCTACCACGCGGGTTAGTCACTTTAGATTGACTTACAATTCAGAGTCCAGTCAATTAGTCGGGAAATCACTAGAAGTCTAACTACTTGTTGGGACAGGTATCATATCTTATCACAACTTGACGACTTCACAAAGGGACTTATTTAAACCAGTTGTTATAAAAAAAATTAACACATTGATGGGCGTCTTCTTATTACTAATTTCAGTCGTTTCATCGTTTCATAAACAACACTTAACTGGGACTTTAAGGGCAAAGACACACGACGCTCATTTAAGACGAGCGGCGGCCGCTCGTCGGCCGAGCGTACACAGTGGCACTTTTACAATTCATACTTACGCACACACAAAACAAAAAATCAATTTGAGTTCAAGTGGCACGCTTCGGCAAGGTTTAGGCACATCGTTTGGATGATGTGCCGCTCGTCGACTTTCGTCGAAGCTTTCTCTGTCGTCTATTGGAATTACATGTAAACGCACAGACGATGGCTGTTTCTATAAGCTAAGAAGTCATTGCGCGATTGACAAACTTGTTTAAAATGGCTGAGACTGTTGATATGGAAAAATTAATAAATGAAATACAAAAAAGACCCGCCATATGGAATATGAAAACAGTTGAATATTCTAATAAAACCAAAAAAAGAAATGCGTGGGAAGAAATAATAAATATATTTTCCAATGAAAGTGCTACAAACGAAGAAAAAAGATACATGGTAAGTTTGTTATAAATATTAAAAAAAAAGTAAATATATCAAATGTCGTTGTTGTCGTGACGAAACTTCTTAAAAAAAATTCCAAAAAACGTTGTGATTTACCATAAAAGTATTCCTTAAAATCACTTAAATGGATTCGCTAAAACGTAGATAAGAAATTTTACAGAGTGGCATAAAAATCTAAATTTCAAAAAAATTGTTAGGAACCTAGAAGGTGACGTTACAACAACGATATTTCACAAAAAAATTTTACAAACAATAATGAAATTGCGACGCAAATAAATTAAAATAACTATTAATAATATATTAAATATATTTATCCTGCCAATCTAAAGGTGCAACATTTATAAAATAATTTTTAAATAAATCTCTATTGTCAAGTGCTCTTGGGTTTTCTCTACTTTTTACATCTTTATTAAAGTTACCAAATGCTGATGATGAAGGATTTGAACAATCATGAGTAGCATTTCCGTCTCTTTTTCTAACAAAATTATGAAGTATACAAGCAGCTTTGATAATTTTCTCTGCTAAATCTATATCAACATTTAGTGGCCTATGGAAAATCCTCCATTTATTAGCTAAAATGCCAAAGGAAGGAAGACTCGTGCTCTTGAGAGCCTATAGTTGAAAATTAATTTTTCCCGAGATAAGTTTCTACCACCGTATGGTCTTAATAAATTTTCAGACAGAGGAAAAGCCTCATCTCCAATTATTACAAATGGATATTTAATATTATCACTTCCGATTAGTGTTGGACAAGGAATTTTAAGTGTCTTGTTTATCATTTTTTTATACAACTGCGAGATTTGAAAAATTCCAGAATCGCTAGATTTTCCATAGGACCCAACGTCAATATACGTAAATAAATAATTACTATCACACATAGCGAATAGTACACTTAAATAATAATTTTTGTAATTATAAAACATGGAACCACTATTTGAAGGTCGAATTAGTCTAATGTGTTTTCCGTCGATTGCACCTATACAGTGAGGAAAATTAGCTTGTTCGTCAAAACCCTGAGCAATTCCTTTCCAATTTTCGGATGAAATTTCGGGAAATTCCGTACGTGATAGACATTTCCAAATTGCGTTACAAACCTCGTTAACTATTTTGCTAGCCGTTGATTTACCAATTCTAAAAGCGTAGTGTAAATCAGCGAATGTACAGCCTGTGGCTAGATATCTAAAACAAAAAAATATATTTTTAGGAACCGAACTTCAAAAAAAATGGAAGAATGCTAGGGACAGATACAGTCGTGATGTTATTAAGAGAATTGGAAAATATGGACAGGGAGCAAAGAAAAGGGCCCCTTATGTATACGCCGTTCAAATGTCATTTTTAGAAGATACAATACAGCTCCATGCTACGGATAGTTCAATGAATGATGACCAAGTGGAACATTCTCAGGCATTAGATAAAGAGTTTGAAATGAATGAAGGAGCTCAAACATCAAACGCATTAAATGAAAACAACATAACAGGACAAGCTCTCCAACAGTCTCATGCAACTACAAGTTCTAACCTCTCAGTTAACTTGACAGAAAAAGTTGTAATAGGTAAAAAAAGAAAAATACCACTAAACGCAAAGCGCCGCGAAACAAAAGAAAATGAAAATGACGATGATCAGTTATTTTTACTGTCACTACTACCACAGTTAAAACAACTTCCACCACATTTAAAATTAAGTGCCCGATTAAGTATTTTACAAGCTCTTAATAAATTCGTATTGGAAATCCCTTATAATCAGCATCAACCACTATCGAGCTCCAAACACCAAGCATCGAGCACCTCCGGATCCACTTCATCAGCAACCACTGGTATACTTGCAACATTCTCAGCATCAGACCTATCTTCAAGCAACGGAGGAAACACCAGAACATCAAAAGATGCAATCGAACACAGCCCCAACAGAAATCTTACCCAATGAAACAACCTCGCCACTTCAGTCTCCTTCAGAATCTATATATTCTTACTATAGTAACTATTCAACAGATAATTCTAATGTTTTTTGAGTTCATATTCTTAGTTTATGTAAGTTCATTTCATATGTATTATGTTGGTTTAATCTTAAGTAGAAAGTAGTTACTTCTTTTTATACGTTGAAATAAAATACTTACCTTAGGGTTACTACCAGTTTTTCCTCCGGTGAAAATCTTTCCCTCATTACTGTGTTTTGTTTGGTTAAGTCACTTTCTATGTACCTTAGTAATTCATTAAACGGATTTTTGGACATTCTGACGAAATTAAAGAATTTTTCCTCATCATCTTGTAACGTAGTCTTAAATAAGTTATAATACATACTTTTATTATGGCGTTCTTTAACTATTGGATGAACTCACATACGTCGATTTTTCTTTTTCTTTAATCGTAAATATAGTAAACCAATTGAAATTAAAAAAACCTCTTCCGAATCACTATCCATTGAAAAAATTACAACCGACAACGTCTAGTAATTTTAATAAACTAGTTTGGTGTATAAAATTTGTGAAACGGACATCGTCTGTGCGGTAGACTCGGCAGACGAGCGTTCGCCGCTCGTCTTAAATGAGCGTCGTGTGTCTTTCCCCTAATGCTGGAATATCGAAAAAATTTCCATAATTTAATTTTAGTGAATTA